TGTGCGTTTGGCCCTATTGGCATTTTTCTGATTTTAATTTTTTTTTTCGACAAAATGATCTTTATAAAAGTTGTGGATAATTACATTCTGATCAACTTTGCCTCATGACTTTTTTTGCTAGCTATTTTAGTTTAGGCGCTGCGACCACTTTTGTGCTTCAGATTTTGGAAAAAATTAAATAGCAAACCTGCAAATTATTGTACTTATAACAGTGTAGCTTCTACAACTTTGTAAGCAAAAAAATATATATACTAAATACAACAGTTGTAAGGTTTTACCTTTATTATCTTTTGCACATGTCAAAACGGATAAGTGACAGCTGCCAACTGTCATAATGACAAACACTTGCATTTTTTTTTGAATGGAACACCCTGTATATTTTTGGCTGGAATAATACATTTTTTTCATCTGATTCCAAATATACCATATTATAATGTTGATATTTGGTTCGGCTGTTTTTACGCTATTCAAGTTCAAAAATGCATTTACATTAACCCAAATTAGGTCTGTTCCCGGTTCTTTATAATGAGCCTGATGAATAAAAAATAAGCAATTGCTTTTCGTTGGGTTTTTGGAGCAATTGCTTCTAATTATATGAATAAAATGGTAAGCAAATGCTAGAGCTCTAAGTAATTGCTTAGAGCACAAGCAAATGCTAGGAGATACAGCTTTTGCTTAATATAAACAAGGTTTTGCTAGAAACCGTATGGATAAAATTAGCTTTTGCTGAATTTTTCAAGCAATCGCTTAAAAATAGTTAAGGATACCCTAGACCATGCTTAAAATAATTTTTCCTATAACTGCCCCTGAAAATGAAGTCTTTCACAGGTTAGGCAACCTCTGAAAATAGAGTTTTTCTACTGACGTTTCATAATACATAGCAACTTTTCGATTGTCATTTTAGTTTTGAAACGACATTCTTTTAAGCACTGAGTGCGTAAAAGTGACTTTTGAATGCGTAAAAGTGACTTTTGAGTGCGTAAAAGTAATTTTTAAGCACTAGTGTCTAAAAGCGTCATTCAATATTCAGAAATAAAAAACACACTAAACACATATGTGAATTTTGTTTTGTATTTATTATGAATATTGAAAATGGAATTACTGAATTGAACGTTTGGGTTAATCAAAACAGAACTGTGTTGTTACCTACTTTCTAGGATTTTAATTATTGATGTCGAATCTTGAAAAAAAAATCGCATGAAAAGTGTCAGGTGTCAAGTAAAAGCAGGAAACAAAGATTTTGGGTGTAATCGACTTATTCACATGAAATAAAATTGTTTTTTTTTATTATAAAATGACAGTAGAAAAAATCTTGTATACAATACGTTACGAAACGATGTCTTTTAGTCACTCGACGTGTTGTCCAACTCGGCTTTGCCTCGTTGGACAATTTTCACGTCGCGTGCCTGAAAAACGCTGATTTCGTAACTTATTGTATAAATAGCTATTTTCACACAGCATGCGAAAAAGTTTTTCACACGCTGCTATTTATTAGTTTTCTATTTATTTTGGTCCTTATATCATCCTAACATGACGTGACATAAATTGCGATTGTCACCAATTTCTGATGTTGATTATTTGGTTTCTAACAAATAAAAAGTACATATTTGGTTGTTTTATTTTGCATTTGTAAGAAAAGCAGTGTAAAAAACTCGTTTGAAAACCTTTTTTCACGCTCTTTCGACTTGAGGAACTCGCCTACGGCTTGGTCCAACAAACTGTCTCGCCGTGCGAAAAAAATCGTTTTCAAAACTTGTTGTTTAAATAACTATTTAGTTGCGATATTAGTTTCATGCAGTGTGAAAGCGTTTGCTCACCTTCTACAAAATGGCTGAATGCATTATATTCACGCAAAAAAAATGTATTCTGTGAGAAGAAATTGTCAAAAGTACGATTTTAAAAAACTATAGGTTCAATAAAGGAAACGTGGAATGGTTAGCTAACCATTTTTTATACTATACTGGCGAAAGACGTGGAGGAGCACTTTCACCGCTAACTCAAGTGAAAGTGTTTGCGCGATCTAGCAGATCCTGGATTTCAAAACTCGGTGGTGGAGGAAATTGGAATAAACCAGTCCACACTGAGAATACCTCATGAATGAATTAAATTTTCAGAAAGTATTGCTAAAATAAACAGTGGTCAGACAAATATACATTTCCAAATGCAGTGGGAACTGGGAGTTATAGATTGCACCCATGTCAGAATTCCCAAATTTGAGTTATGGGGATAAATATTAATAGGAAAGGCTTTCCAATCATCAATGTGCAAGCAACATGCAACGCTGAAGAAATGTTCACTAGTATAGATTGTCATTTGGTTTTATTTAATAATTCTATAGGTAAGCAATTGCTAGCCAGATGTTGGACAAAGCAGCATTTGCTAAAACATTTTATTCATATCAAGATCTAGCAATTGCTTTTACTTGTAGCATTTGCTAATACAGCAATTGTTTTTGCTAGATAGCATTAATTGCTCCAAGTAATTGCTTGATTTTTATTCATTAGGCTCATTATTATATCAATGGTGAGGCTTACTTAAATTAAAATAAAAACATAATTTGAAGATAGCCAATAATGTCAATTAGATAAGCTAGATCGATAGTAATTATATCCTGAGGCCTTTTCATGCCTTAATTTTTCCCCCAATATCAATTTTACTTTGAAATAATACAGCCGAATCATGTTTTGCCTAATTACTATAGGTAATTGGAAATCGGGACTACGTAATTACAAAGGCAAAAGTAATATTTAGTAAAAATCCTTAATCATAAATACAGATTTGCACTGAATTATGCAAATTAGATTCCTTGCTGCTCTTCAAGCTTATATCGCAATTCAGCCCAGTCGGTAATGGATTATTCGCACATTTTAGTGTCACCTTTTTGACAGATGCTTAATACTACCTGGAAAAACTGTCTAGTTTTTTTGTGTGCAAATTAATGCGATCCGATTTTTCAACAGAGGACACTAACGTGAGGAATAATTTATAATTTTGTCCAGTAGACTTTTAATTTGGAGATCAGATTGAGTTAGAAACCACAGTAATTACAACTTTAATAGAAAACTACAAATTACCGAAATTATCATACACGGTTCCCTACTTCCCAAAAACCTTGACGGCTTCCTTCGGAACAAACAAATATTTAAAGTAACCAACAAAACGATACGGCCCTGAGCCAAAGACATTGACCACGCTTCAATTATTTTAGTCTTCTTCGTTTTCGATGCAATAAATACAAATAGAAGATGACTCATGGTGTATTTTTAATTTATTTGCACATTATTTTGTTTTGTTTTTTGCGTTTAAATTTTGACGGGTGAAAATCGTGCAAGCTCACTCCTATGCAATAGACTGTTTTAGAAATGATCCGAACAATTAAAAAATAATCCAAAAATCAATTGATCATCTTCTATTTCTTGCTATTCCGTTTTTACCATCATTAAACCACGAAATAAGACATATTATTCACATTAAGTTATGATAGCAATAAAAATATGTTTTTAATCTCATACCGGACCCCCGCAGGGCATCTGTAATACTTAATGTATATCCATCCACTTCTGAGGAAATGTCTTCATCACAACTAGATGCTCATTAGGATTTTTATAATAGAGTTGTTGGCCGGAAATTAAAAAAAGAGTTGATAAAATTGATGTTTTGTGTGGCCAACAGAACTAGAATTATTTCAAGAGGCCTGAAGGTCTTCATTATTATATCTACGGTCATCAGGAAAAAAATTTTTTTGTCGAGTAATGACCAAAAGTTTGTTACACATAAGGTGTATAGGAATTGTGTGTATACAATGTATTATTATTATTGGAAATTGTTTCGTGAACATAATTGAAATTAAATATCTCAGTGGTAGGGGTAGATGGAGAGCTGTCCGAGGCGGTATATCACATCACAGTCCACAAAGAGGGGAAAGAAATGTTGCTCTTGGAATTCTATAGAATTTAAGTTTTTTTAAAATTCTTGGCTATTTTCGAGGTCGCACAGGCCGAAGTTTCCAAAAGCTTTAGCGGCCCTTCTCTCAGGCCTGTCCTACTTATTGTCCCCATGTGTTTAGTCTTCTTAAAGCAGATATCTTTTGTCTTCTTTCTCCTCTCTTTGCGAGTTCGTCAGCTTTTTCGTTGCCTTCGTCCTGGTCCCAGAGAAGCTTTACCTTATTTTGGTCCGCCAGGGCCCTGAGTTCTTCTTGGCATTCCCATATTAGTCTTGATAACACTGTCTGGCTCGAAAGGGCCTTCAGTGCCACTTGACTGTCGGACATTATAAGGATATGCCTGTTGGCTACGGCTCTCCTGATATTCTCTGTTGCACACTGGAGTATAGAATGGACCTCTGCCTGAAAAACAGAAACATGAATTCTCAGTGTATAGTGATTGCTGTAGCTGGTGGAGTATAGTCCTGTCTCAATACCAGTCGCGTATGCCCTGTTCCTATTCAGTTCTGCTTGGGAAGCTGAAGGCGAACGGTCTGTTGAGGCAATGGTCCGTCTTCATATTGAAAATATCTCCACCTACAAGTTTTGAGGTTGCCATATGTCCGGTCTTTTTGTTTTAGGCGGTTGTGGGTTGCAGGCTAGATTCTCCCATCTTTGCCTCCCCCTGTATCACATTGTGCATATCCATAAGTTTTTTCCAGTGTCTTGATCTTGAATGACATGAGACCACTGATCTCAAAAATAAATGTATAAACAAAGAAAGCTTCTAATGCTGCTAATTTACGAGGTCATAAAGTAAACAAAAACAACTGACTGGGACACTGTGAGCGTGAACGAAGTTGATTCAAGATGGCGGATATTGATGATGTGAATTCAGGTGGTCCCGTTTCAAACGCGGAAATATTGTGCGGTTCCTGTAAAAGATCAGTGAAAACTGAGCTCAAGTGTGAAAAGTGTCTACGACAATTCCACCCGGCTTGTTTAGTACGCCTTAAAGGGGCGAAAACCCTGGGAAATTTTGTGTCCGACATGCGCGCCAAAGATTGATGAGGACGTCATGATCAGTGTTCTAACGAGAGAAATCGAAACCTTAAACAAGTTAGTTTTGACCTTAATTGATAACAATGGCCTTCTGAATGCCCGAATTAGAGATTTGGAGTTAAAAAATCGAGAACTAGTGGCTGAAATTGGGTATTTGAAGGCTAATCCAAGCATAAACAATACATCGTCTCCTCTCCCTGCCCCGCAGTTCCCAATGTTTTTACAACAGACAGAGACAGAGAAGACAGCAAAAGCTGCAACTGCTGATTTTGGACATGAAGTGTCGACCGTTGTGGCGACTTGGCTGAAAAACAAAGATGGAAAAGAAGACCGTAGGAAGCATAACCTCAAAAGTTCGTCCAATGTAAACATAAATACTCAGGCTAAAAATAAAAATAATCTTATAAGCAATAGCCAAGTTCAAAAAGCGATTAATGAGGCAGTGATTCAAACTATTTTGCCAAAATACTCGGAAGCACGTCTACAAGGTAAGGGTGAGGGGGCTCAAAAGTCTCCTAGAAACTCCGACGTAAATACAAATACAAATACAACAGGAACTTCTCCTAATGTCAATAGCATATTTAGAGGGGTGCCAGGTAAAAAGTGGCTCTTCTTGGGGCGTGTAAATAATGAGGCAACAACGCAAGTTATATTTGATCACATCAAAAGTGCACTGAATCTAGCGAATGACAGGGATCTTGTGGTAGAGGAGCTGCCAACCAAGGCTCACTCCAAATGTTTTAAGGTTGGAATTTGTGAGATTATGTATGAAACTCTTAATGACAGCAATTTTTGGCCAACGAATGTCATTTTCAGACCATTTACCCAGCGTAATAGGCTAAAAAGGAGAGCACCACAAACCACAGTAGGGGGTCAAAATTTTCAACAGCCGCAGATCGTGGTAGCAGTGCCATAACCTTTTATTATCAGAATGTGAGGGGTCTAAAATCAAAGCTCCAGGCCCTGATGTGCAATACATTGTCAGAGAGCTACGATGTGATATTGCTAACGGAAACTTTTCTGGATGATAGCATTTTATCCAGTGAACTCGGCCTTGATGGATACCTTATATCCAGATGTGATAGATCAGTCAGAACCAGTTCTTGCTTGTCTCAGGGTGGAGTGTTTATTGCAGTTAGGAATACGCTCTCCTGTCGCGCTCTAAATACTCCTCTCGATAATGTGGAATGTGTCTTTGTTCTGGTTTCTGTTGGCAGTCATAGGATCCTGATAGGGAATGCATATATACCAGGTGTCTCAGATGTTGATGTATATGAGAGTTTTAGTCTCTCTGTTCTGCATCTTGTTGATCAAACTGATTTTACGGACATTTTTTTGTGGGGCGATTTCAACTTGCCAGAACTGACATGGATCAATGGTAAGGATTGAACATTCCCGGTCGGAGTGGTGACAAATGAGGCAACTGTATTGTCTGATTGTGCTGCATATTTGGGTTTGTACCAAAACAACCAAGTTCCCAATAAATATGGAAATTTTTTGAATCTATTGTTTAGCAGCCATGTGAATGTCAATGTCTCATTGTTCGACAACCCTTTGTCTTTGTGACTATTTTTATTACAATTTTAAATTTGCAAATTTTGTCGACATGAATATCTTCCTATCCAGCTGTGATTGGAGTTTTATTGACAGGTGTTCTGATGTGGATGTGGCAGTGGCACATTTTTATGATACTCTGTATTACGCAATTGAGATGTACACACCAACCTCTCGATACAAATCACCAAAGTTTCCTGGATGGATGAATGATGAGCTGAAAAAATTGATCATCACAAAGAAAAAGGCTCATAAAAAATTTAAAATCACAAATTCAATTGATGATTACACTGTTTTTTCTGATTTGCGATCAAAATGCAGAGATACCTCACAATCTTCATATAAAAATTACATAAAAGAACTAGCAGGGCAGTTGTGTGACAAAAAATAAATCATTTTGGAGCTTCGTGAATTCAAGAAAAGGGAACACAGAGTATTCACAGTGTATGAACTTCAATAAACAAGAAAGCAGTGATCCTCAGGAAATCTCGGAGATGTTTGGCACCCATTTTTCATCGGTGTACTCGGAGTATGTAGAATTTGATTCAGATGGAGATGGAATGTTTTACTGTGATAAATCGGTCTCACTTGGTGACCTCAAACTCTCTGTGATGGACGTTTTTAATAAGATTGATGATTTTAAACTTAGTTTAGGCCCTGGGCCCGATGGGGTGCCTATTGTTCTGTTGAAGAATTGTAAGTTTGTCTTGTCCGAAGTGTTATGTAAACTTTTCAATCTGTCTTTGAGTAGCGGAAAATATCCCTCATGTTGGAAATTGTCATATGTCATCCCGATCTTTAAGCAGGGGAATAGGTCAGACATAAAAAACTACCGTGCTATTTCAAAAGCTTCATTAATTTCTAAAATCTTCGAAGCCATGGTTGCCGAAAAAATAACTCCACTTTTTAAACATATCATTATAAACGAGCAGCATGGTTTTATGAAAGGAAGGTCCACTGTATCCAATCTTTTATGCTATGAGCGATGTCTGTTGGAAGCCTGCGAGAATGGGGGTCAAGTTGATTCTGTTTACACTGATTTCTCGAAGGCTTTTGACAGTGTAGATCATGGCATATTGGTGAGGAAACTCAAATCCGTTGGGATCTTTCGATCTTTGGAGCAATGCTCAGTTGGTTTGAGAGTAATCTTAAGGGACGAAGGCAGGCAGTAAAAATAAAAAACTATATATCCTCCGAATTTGCTGTTACATCGGGTGTTCCACAAGGTGGGCACCTGTCAACATTTCTATTTAACTGCTTCATTAATGATGTGAGGGGTGTTTTTCGTGTTTGCCAGTTTCTGGCTTTTGCCGACGATTTGAAATTATTTATGATAATCAAATCACTTAACGATTGTAAGCTGTTGCAGGAGGATTTGAGTAGATTCGCTGAGTGGTGCAAGGCAAATAATTTGTCATTAAATACAAACAAATGTTCAATTGTTACTTTTAGTAGATCAAAGACTCCTATTGTATTTAATTATGGTGTCAACTCAGTAGGGCTTGAAAGGCAGGTTTTAGTAAAGGATCTCGGTGTATGGCTTGATTCAGAGTTATCTTTTATTAATCACATTGACATAATTACCAATAAAGCCATGCGGCTCCTGGGATTTGTCTTTCGAACTCTGCGTGGGTTTGAGAATATATATACTTTTAGAGAGATTTATTGTGCATTGGTTCGCTCTGTTTTGGAGAATGCAACATGTGTATGGCATCTTCACTATAATGTGCATGTCAAAAAGCTTGAGCGGGTTCAACATAAGTTTCTTAGTAGAATTGCATTTAAATTAAACGTCCCGCATGATCAAATAAATTATAATGACATTATGAGAGTACTTGGTAATGCATCACTTGAGAATAGGAGAAAGTATTTTGATATTATAACCTTTTACAAAATTATTAATAGTATTATAGATGCACCTGATCTACTTGCGGCGGTGGGCATTCGTGTTTCGGCTGTAAACGCCAGGAATAAAGAGCTTTTTGATATTGAATTCCATAGAACTAATTATGGAATGAATTCGCCTCTGAATAGAATGTGTAAACTAGCTAATGATGTGATAAAGAAAAATGATCTTGATATATTTTGTGATTCGTTTAGTAAATTTAGTAGCAAAGTAAAGAAGAGCTTGTATCTTTAAATGTATATTTTGCCATCTTGAAATAATTTTTTGTTGACTGATCGTATTATTTTATCTCTATGTTGTGTTTTTTGCGTTATTTTTAAGGTTCTGTTTGTTAATTAAGATTGTCATATCTATTTTTTGTTTGACTGTAATTTATTTATTGTAAGATTTTGACTATTTGTAGAATGCTTTTTCCGTGAATAAAATTTTGAATTTTGAATTTTGAATTTTGTGAGCAGTAGATACATGTACTGTGCATGCACAAAATCTGGCCAATGAAAACGAAGGAATTTCAAAATTTAAAACAGTTGTTCGAAAGATAAAACACTGCGCAGGCGTTAGGCTCTTCCGTTGCACAACTGTTCATAGAATATTGACCCCAAATGTTTGCACAAGTTTAGCCAATCAAGCCGTACGATTAATATAATAATAATAATAATAATAATAATAATCTTTATTCAAGTAATTCAAATTACAAGAAAAGGCAAGAGTGCAGCGCCCAGACGAATCTGCTTGCTGATTTCTACACTTATCCTTAAAAAAAAACAACGCATTCTTAAATAACCCTATTTAAAAATATGAAATTTCAAATTTAAAAATTGAAATTTTCCATTCGAAAAATAGCAAATTAATAATACAACTAATTATGAAGTTATAATACATTTTGCAAAACAAAGAAATGTACTTACATCAATAAAGTTTCTCTAAAACGCAATATAAAGTATAAAACATGACAGTGTTTCCATTGTTAAAGAAAAAATAAAATAAAATAAAAAAGTTTTAATGCTAATTTCAATAAAAGATAATACCATATATAAAAAAAAAAAAGATAAAAGATTCACCCTAATATCTGTGGTCCTTTACGAGAGAAATAAACACAAATAAACACACATGAAACTTAGTGAAGATAAAGTTTTTTAATTTTTCCCGACAGAGATAGAGTCGAGCCGTTTCGAAGGGATGGGGAGAGGCCGTTATAGACTTTAGCAAAGTCATAACCGAAAGATCTTTCGAAAATGCCACATCGATGTCTTGGAATAATAACATTATTAAACCTTAAATTGAGATTATTTACATCTGTTCTAAATGTAATTCTTTCAAAAAGATATTCTGGGTATCTATATCTGATTATTTTATGGTATAAGCAAGTCCTGTGAATCAAGCGTCTAGTTTTCATGTCAACCCAACCTGCAACTCTAAGCTTGTGGCTAACAGGTCGCTGATGACGGATACCATATATAAATCTCAAACAGCATTTTTGGATTTTTTCTATGCGTTTTGATTGTTTATCCATTTATTTTTTAGATCGGTGCATGAGACTAATCGGTCCCCAGGTTTTGGTATGAACTTTACCCTAATGTGTCTTCAAGTTTTTGGTATAAAGCCAAAGCCTAGGCTACTTCTTAGAATGTTGCAGAATATCCTGTGTGCTAGTTCAGTTCCGTTCCGTTCTATAATATTATGGGATAGATCCCATCTGTCCCTGTTGACTTTTAAGGGTCAAAGGCAGTGGCGCATCCAGAGTGTAGGTCTGAGGGGGGGGGGGGTTAACAAAAATCCAATACACGCTTACTTAACATCGGAGGCAGCTTGTCGCAGGCTCCCCGAAAATTTTTAGTTTACATGGTTTACAATCCAAAAATCGATGCTGAGAAAATATCGATGTTTTTCTATCAATATTTTCTTAACATCGATATCAGCTTTGGATGTTTTATCGATACCGAAACATCGAAGTTTTCAGTTGGATGGGCATCCCTAGTTGTTAGATGTGGGGTAGGTAAGGGCCGGTTTCTCAATAGCAAGTCACCC